TGAATTTCGGGCTTTCTTCTCTTATTATAATGCCCTCATGAACAAAGAAAGTGGTATGACCTTTTACTCATGCTTAAAGGGATAGTTCACCCAAAAATAAAGATTTGATGTTTATCTGCTTACCACCAGGGCATCCAAGATGTAGGTGACTTTGTTTCTTCAGTAGAACACATATGATTTGCCATGCATTATACGACTGATAGACTGCAACGGTTGGACCTAAAAATCATCATATGTGTTCTACTGAAGAAACAAAGTCACCTACATCTTGGATGCCCTGGTGGTAAGCAGATAAACATCAAATCTTCATTTTTGGGTGAACTATCCCTTTAATGGTCGCTAGTAGATTTTTGAGTTAAATTTAATCCACATCTAAACAGCATACACATTTTTTTTTTATATATATATATATATTATATATATTATATATATATATATAGTTTCTTAATTTTCAACTGGAGCAATATATGGATCAGATTTTTACTTGCGTAATTATAGTTTGATTTAGCGTGATATTCTGGGAAGCTGTCCTGTAGTTTATCCATCAAAAACAATTTTAAACATGATTTTGGTAGTTATTTTATAAATATAATTGTGACCCTGGACCACAAAACCAGTCTTAAGTTGCTGGGGTATATTTGTAGCAATAGCCAAAAATGCATTGTATGAGTCAAAATGACCGATTTTTCTTTTATGCCAAAAATCATTAGGATATTGAGTAAAGATCATGTTCCATGAAGATATTTAGCAAATTTCCTACTGTAAATATATCAAAACTTAATTTTTGTTAGGGTTAGGTTACTAAGAACTTCATTTGGACAACTTTAAAGGCGATTTTCTCAATATTTAGATTTTTTTTTCCACCCTCAAATTTCAGATTTTCAAATAGTTGTATCTCGGCCAAATATCGTCCTAACAAACCATACATCAATGGAAAGCTTATTTATTCAGCTTTCAGATGATGTATAAATCTCAATTTCAAAAATGTTTCCTTATGACTGGTTTTGTGGTCCAGGGTCACAATTAGAAACCACACTGAATATTTGTATTTTTAAAAAATCTGTTTTTGTGATTCAAAATGGGGAATGGGGGGGGGGGATGACAAATGGTCAAATAAGACATGGTGACTAGATAGGAGACCTACAGTCTACACCTTATTTCATTCATTCTAATTATTATTTCTTTATTTCTTTTTTTTGCTTTTAATTTCAATTTAATGTTAAATGTAGATATTTTGATGCTTTAAGGAATCAGGATGTGATACAAGGTTTATTTTACTTTTGTAACAGGTGGTCTGTCAAAAGCGGACCGGGAACTGATTGTTGTTGCGACCAGTGCTCACAATCACTGCTTGTATTGCGTGGTATCCCACAGTGCATTGCACCGCATCTATTCCAAAAAACCCGTGCTGGCTGATGAGGTACCGAGTAAAAATTTCACAAAACATAATGTAAAACTGTTCAACACCCTCTCAGACTCGATATTCCAAGAATATTATAAATAATATGAGTGGATTTACTGGTACTGTTTTGTCGCGCAGGTTGCAGTTAATTACAGGGTTGCGGAGCTGAGTGCACGTGAGAAGGCCATGCTGGACTTTGCTCTGACAGTCTGCAGGGGTGAAACCGTAACTGAGGAACATTTCAGCACCCTGGAGGCTCACGGTTTTGACCGAGAGGATATTTGGGACATTGCTGCCATTGCTGCCTTCTTTGCTCTGTCCAACCGCATGGCCCATCTGACTGACATGAGACCTAACGCAGAGTTTTACAACATGGGGAGAGTGCCGAGAGACACAGAAAACGCCTCTGATGGGCGGGTCAAGGACGAATAGACTCATAGTTCTATTTTTTTATAACACCAAATCCTTCAAAACTGTCAAATATGATATAAAGATGACTGTTAAAACACTGTTTTGCAAAATATCACCCAAAGTTCTTTAACACTTTCACAAATGTTTGCACGTTTAGCTTTTAAGCTTCTTTGATTCACGCTGTTTTTGTGTTAGTCTTCACAATGAGAAATTCATCCTTGTGGCCTTTTCGTTTACTTGCATTTGTTAGTCCGTGGTTATTTATTAAAAAGAGAGAGATCTGAATATCACAAATGCATTCACAAATCACTATAACATACAGCTGTGAGCAGGCTTATAGTTATCTAAAAACTAAAACCATAACAAAACATTTGAATTATTCGAAATGAGCATTACCTGAAATAAAATAAAATGATATATATATATATATAAACTTTTTCATTTAGTTTAACTTGAAATACTGAAGTGACAAACTAAATTACCTAAAATGATGTAGCCTATACATATCTAAAAACAACAAAAACTAATAAAAATGACAGAAACAAAAAATGAAACTTAACTAAAGCTAAAAACGTAAATTACAATTAAAACGAAGACATCAATTCAAAATATTAACAATAACTATAATTGTAAGACAACTATAATTTGTAAAGACAAAGTCTGGATACTTTTTTTTGGAATCAGATAATCACCTAATTTATAAGTTATGTCAACATTTTTACTGATATTATTAGCTGCATTTAAGTTTATTAGCTTAACTGAATAATAGAGCTGCTGATCAGGCCAACAAAGTTTTTGAGAATTATTTTTACCATCTAAACCCATTTGCTTCAGCGCTGAGATGAAGTGTTAATGTGGATGTGCAGTGCTTTGTTTTCTCTGAGCATTACACTGTTTAACTGTAATGGGTCTTCTGAAATATTTTTAAACAAGCCATGCCGTATTTGAAATGATTTCTGTTGTCATGAGCTGGAAACATCACAAACTTGAATATAAAAAGTGAAACCTGTTAGTCTGTTTTCAAGAGATTATAATTATAAAGAGGTTAAGAAATAATCAATTTATAACTTGTGCAAACCATTTGTTTGGGTGAGACAAACATTAGTGTTTTCTCTGAAAGTGCACATTAGGATTTTAAATGTTAGTCTGTAAATACTGAGCTGAATCTATCCAGTGAAATTTCGATGATGTCTACTGAGGGTTTGTTGACTTAGAAAAAAAAATTACATCGTTAATATGTACGTGTGTTAAAATTACCATTAAACATTTTGAGAAAAAAAACATAATAAAAGAAAACCCTCATGCATGTTTCTCATCCACGTTTGTTACATCTTAAGCAGTTATTGTTAAGTAGTCTTAAACAGTAAAAATTTTTGCATTACTTTTGACTTCACTGTTTTTTAACCATTTTTATGTGACAACATGCATTCACAGATTTGGTTTTCAAAAATAATTTATTTGCTTTATTGTAATATTATTTATAAATTATTTACACATTTATAAAAACAAATTTTGTTTTCCATTTGCCATAATCCAACGTGTAAACACCAACTGAGATCCGGTTCATCTTCTGGTCTGTAAATCTTCATACTGCAATAACAAAACACAGTGTATCAGAGCTGTGCAGTACAATGATTACAGCATGTTAGCAAGTAATTATGATTGAAGATGGAGATTATTTATAGGATTTTAATTTGTATGAACCATTATAAGTTATAAATAGATTTCCTACCGTTACTCAGAAATGCTCATAATTACCGCATATGCTGGTGGAGGAGCACTCGGGACTGGACCGTAGTTTGGTGGAGGTGCAGCTGAGACCTGGTCATAGGCTGGTGGAGGTGTAGTTGGTACTGGACTGTAATTTGGCAGAGGCGCAGGTGGGACTGCTGGCAGCACATACATGACTGAACTAACGGACTGTACCACTGCAGAGGGGTCCGGCTGGCCCATGAGCACAATATGGTTGACGGGCAAATCTGCGTTCATATAACTGATCTCGACATGTCTTGACTGAGAGAGAACCAACATTATATTTGTTACACATATTTGGGATTCCTTTTTTCAAGATGAGAACATTCCAAGCTCTTGGTGATGCTTACCTTTGGTCTGCAGCAACAGGAACAGGAGGTTAAAGCAACAGTGACAGAGAAGATGAGGATGAGAGTATCACAGGCCATCAGGAGAAAGCAGGTCACACCCTGATAAAATAATAGGCACACAGTGATTATGAACTAAAATATGAATCAAAAACCGGTTGCCAGATCTAAACAGTATAGAGGATGGGCTATGTCACATTGTACTATCTGTGTCACAATATATAAGCACTTTCATCTAAATCTGGTAAAACAAGAAATTGTTTTAATATATTTTGTACGTGTGTGAGTTTCAAAGCAACCACTTACCCAAGTGTAATAAAAATGAAAGCAGAGAGACAGAGCTGCTGCTGCCGCATTGAAATAACTGAGCATTTGTGAGGATTTGACCTATAGTACAAAAGATCTGTTTTAAAATAAAACCCATAAAGTTCCCCTTAAGCAAAAATATTACAAGTTTTTTTTAAACTGACACTAACCAGACATGGTTTACACGTGCTTGCTGCCGAGACTGTTAATACTCCAGTTAAAATGAACTGCAGAACAGAAATGGAACAGAATTCAGTATTTGTTCATTGTATAATATTGTTTTGATATTAAAATGATCGACTTACGCTGATTGGTGACCAGAGAAGAGAAAAATGAACATTCCAGATTGTCAAACAGAGTCCCAATAAGGCTAGCAATAGTTCCAAAATCTGTGAGACAAAAACATACGATAAAATGCCTGTTTCTTCATACACACTGAATACTTCTCTTGATGTGGAACAGTGTGTTTTTACCCCCAAAGCCAGTGGCTTGATCTTCAGGAACCTGGAGACGCCATACTGCTGTTGCTGGTATACTGGCACGGTTAGCATCACATCAGTGGGTTTTGGCATCTTTGAAAATAAAGAGAGTATCTTGTCTTTGCACATCTTCTCTTTCTTGTCAGCCGAAGCTTATTGAGTGTCGAGAAACCAGGCTTCACTGATCATTCTTTCATTCGCAAAGCTGGGAGTCAAGATTTACCTGAAGAGTTGCTTAACAACAAAGAGAAAGCGTTCCTATGGAGTTGAAGAATGTTGAGGGCTGCAACATTATCCTGTCAATCACAATCATAACCTGTATGCTTACCCAGCGTCACATGACCAAAGAATGCTGGTCTGAATATCAGCCTGGCTTGCTCATATACAGTATATATATATACAGTATATATATATATATAGAACACCATGATTGCTGTTAACTGAGGTTACACTTTACTTGAAGGGGTGTGCATAAGACTGACATGACACCTTCATAATCATGACATGACACCTTCATAATCATGACATGACACATGTTATGAATATGAAGGAGGTTTTATGCATGTTTATGACAACTGTCATTAAGTGTCATTCGCTCAGTTATGTAATTTTTAATGCAAAGATGACATTGTTTGAGATGTCTTTGTTATGGGCTATGGTTAGGGGTAAGGGTAGGGGTAGGGTTAGGTTAGGTGAAATAATGTCATATTTGCATAAAAATTTACATCATTGAGCGAATGACACTTAATGACAGTTGTCATAAACATGCATAAAACCTCCTTCATATTCATAACGTGTGTCATGTCATGATTATGAAGGTGTCATGTCAGTCTTATGCACACCCCTTCAAGTAAAGTGTTACCGTAACTGAATATGTGATATTGCTTTTATACAACAGTTCATTAAACAACGAGTTGATTAAATTGAGTTGAATATGTAACTGGGTGTTTCTTCATCTTTGGACACTCTATGTCCCAGCCGGGGTTAATTATTAAATCACATTTAAATTGGTTTCATATTAGAAAATGTGCCCATAGTCAAACCAGGGGCAAACCAGGCCGGTGCTGGTCCATCCAATCAACATGACCAGATTATACTAATATGGTGTGTGGAAAAGTGGCAAAATAGGTGTGTTTACATAGTTTATAAAGTGTATAGATTGATATAACATAATGTTTATTTATTCACACGTAACAAATCCGCTTTAACCATAGTCTCACGATCTATGGTTATGCAAAATAAATGGCTGACTAGGAAATTATACCTAAACTTTATCAGTACTAGCTACTTTTGTAGTCAATTTTCCATCTGTTTCCAAGCCGCAATATTTCACTCACTAAAATAAAAAAAACGTTTAAAAAACGTTTTAAAACGTTTAATGTGAAAAACACTCATAGTGCCTTAATGTATTAAAACAGTGATATTAAAAGATCAAATTCAGCCTATGCACCTTACTGATGATGCATACTTTATTTAGGCAAGTAGCCCGGGATATGAACGCAAAACTTTATGTAAAACGCATTACTGCTTGCCTGTACAAAGTAACCCATCTATGGATCATTAAAAAAAGGTGATTTTGGTCCAGTTGGGCCTTTCTATGAATAACTTTGGAAAGTCAGCTTCGTTCTAATGAATAAGTTCGTTCGGACTTGAACATAAAAACGATTAATCAAGTTTCTACATGGCATGTAGTTATAGGCTATGTATCGTAAATGTATCTGTTCAATCTGTAAATTTGATATTGCTGATTCTGCTAACTGTATTTGTGCTTCACTAAATCGAAAACGGTTCCAGTCGAATCAACAGACTGCACTATGAATCAGTAGCGGGGTTAAGTTAGTTTTGTTTTCGATATTCGTTACACATTCAGAGATAAATGGCAATAACTCCAAAACGACTTGCCCTAAAAAAATCGAAACAATGTGACCGCCAAAAGGGCAAAGCTGATTATGTTTCACAGCCTTCTTTTTCATAATTTTCGCTCGATGTAATAAGCACTGCACAGCACAAGCCGTCGCAATGTGCAATAAGCCAGGAGAGCTCGCTCTTCGCGCAGCTTTCGGTAAGGGACCGTGGGGAAAGTGCAATTTTTTTTTTTTTTTTTTTGCTATGCCTCAGTGGGCGGTGTTTGTGTAATAGCTTTTTAGTTAAAGGGCCTGTAGACATGAGACCAGTGTCAATCAATAGAGGGGGACAGTGGACATTTTTCACAACCTTCCATTTTACCCCAAGTGGATGATTAGGGTATTGCATGTCCAAAATTAATCTTCTTTTTGTAATAACTTTTTACATCAGAGAGACAGAGGCATGAGACCAGTGTCAATCAATAGAGGGGGCCAGTGAACATTTTTCACAACCTTCCATTTTACCCTTACTGTTAGAAAAAGGAATTGCATGTCCAAAATTAATCTTCTTTTTGTAATAACTTTCTGCAGCAGGGAGACAGAGGCATGAGACCAGTGTCAATCAATAGAGGGGGCCAGTGAACATTTTTCACAACCTTCCATTTTACCCTTACTGTTAGAAAAAGGAATTGCATGTCCAAAATTAATCTTCTTTTTGTAATAACTTTCTGCAGCAGGGAGACAGAGGCATGAGACCAGTGTCAATCAATAGAGGGGGCCAGTGAACATTTTTCACAACCTTCCATTTTACCCTTACTGTTAGAAAAAGGAATTGCATGTCCAAAATTAATCTTCTTTTTGTAATAACTTTCTGCAGCAGGGAGACAGAGGCATGAGACCAGTGTCAATCAATAGAGGGGGCCAGTGAACATTTTTCACAACCTTCCATTTTACCCTTACTGTTAGAAAAAGGAATTGCATGTCCAAAATTAACTTTCTTTTTGTAATAACTTTTTACATCATGGAGACAGAGACATGAGACCAGAGTCTTGCATTAGAGGGGGACAGTGGACATTTTTCACAACCTTCCATTTGACCCCAAGTGGATGATTAGGGTATTGCATGTACAAAATTAATCTTCTTTTTGTAATAACTTTTTACATCAGGGAGACAGAGGCATGAGACCAGTGTCAATCAATAGAGGGGGACAGTGGACATTTTTTACAGTCATTGTTCTACTTTAGTGACTGATTAGAGAATGGCATGTTCACAATTAGTGCCCAATCCACTAGAGCTGCAGGGCCCTACTGTTTTTCTAACGATTATTATTATGCTTATTTTTATTTGCCAAGGTTTTGGAGTTTTGGGGCCCTTAACCAAAAATTTTGACCATTCCAAATGATTTGAACTTTGTGTCTGTACATCATAAATAGAACAAAGGAGCAGTTTACTGTAAGGCATTTGTCATGTCGCGTAGCGCCGCATCCAGTGTAGAAAGCATAACTGATTTAAATTGGTTCTATTTTATTTAGTCATACTGCACCGGTTGCATACTGTGTAAAACACTTAACAAGCTTAAAATTGCATGAAATTTGACACACACACACACACACACACACACACACACACATCAGTATTAATGATAGTTTGACATAAGCAAAAGCTCATAAATGGGCATGGAACAGGTGTTCTATAGCGCCACCTTTTGAAAAAAGTGAGTGGGTTACTTTTTCCTAAAGTCACCAGACTTGGTACATATATTATTCTCATTGCGCCGGACAACTTTCTAATTTACAGTCATTAGCTACAACCAACAGAAAGTTGCCTATTTTGCTTTGAATATGGATTTTTTTTTTTTAAACAGTGAATTAATGCATACTCCTCCTTTGTCAACATGATGTCAAGATATTAAAGATTCTAAACTGCTAACAGATTTTGGATATCTTGAACGAATATTCTTAATAAAAACTGAGAAATATATGCCATTGATACCTGTAAATTAGTACACCCTACAATTTATTCAACAGTGTAATATTCTACTACTTAATATGTCCTCCTTTTTTTTTTTTTTAAGTACACTGCTCTCACCCTTCTTGGCATTGAGTGTACAACTTCATGACAAATTCTCACATCTGTCCTGTTTAACTCCTGGAGGATGAGCTCCTTAAATGCCCTGGTCTTTAATGGGGAGTGTTGTTCAGCTCGTCTCTACAGAATCCCCCACAGCTGCTCAAGAGCGTTAAGATTGAGTGAAATACATGTCCACTGAAGGATTTTCACCTTGGGCAAATGAATATCTCCATTCATGTTGACAAAATGCCCAACAGTGCAGGGAATGAGGAGAGGGTAGGATCTTCTGATTCAGGTTTTTCTATTACATCACACAGTGGTGTGTGAATTCATGACAGTGTTGATAAAGCACAGCTCCCTCACACATTCAGCACTCATGCATCCTTATATAACAGCTTTACGACCACTGCATGTCACTGTGGGAACCAGGCACTTTCCTACTCACTGTACTCCTCAACAAGCAACACCAGAACATTTTGTATGCCGTTACTACGAAAATAATTGACTTGGTATCATGAGACCAGAGTATGGATTCCCAGAAGTCAATATTTTGTAAATATGGGACTTGGAAAAAGCTAAATCAGTTTATTGTGCTTTGGCTACAGTAGCTACCTTATTTCCGGTGTGGATAAACAACCATGCATGTAACTTCTGCAAGGCTGCATCTTACTCCGTGAGATAAAGTGTCACTCTTTTCATAGACTCTGACACACTTTCTTGGTCTTTCTCCTGCTCTTTTTCTAGCAAAAACTCACTCATCACTAAATGAAAGCTTAAAATAAAGACATAATTATTTCAGTGGCCTTTTCACAAGGAATCAATGTCCTGACAGTTCTCTCTTAAGTGGTTTTATTGTTGTCAACATTAAGCCTGAGTATGATTCAGTGGGCTATATAACACTTTTAATTGTCCAAAAATGACTTATATTTAACAGTTTTGGTTCAACATACCTGTTGATCAAAATTTACTTTTAACATTACACCAGAAATTTTTATTTAGTTTTTTTTAGTAACTTTCAGGAGGGTGTACAAATTTTTGCAACACAACAATTTATCACTTTGATAAGAAAATTGCATTTTCTAGAGTAATTTTAACATTCCTCTTTGGTAACTGATCAAGCTGACTTCCTGGAATATTATATATCTACAGTACCGTAACATGTAACAGGACCCTACAGCACCCTAACGAGTAATTTCTGAGTTTGTGTGTATATATATATATATATATATATTTTTTTTTTCAGAAAGTTTTGTAATATTTTACCTCACCCCAAATTTTACACTACCGAAACACAGTAATATATAATTTAATAAAAAGGGTTATTTTACCTATT